AAAAAAAAAAAAAAAAAAAGAAAGCTCTAGACTAGATCCTACCTGGGGAAAGGAGAGTTGGAAATGTGTTTCTAGGTTTCCTAGAGGAGATGACATCTGAACCAACTGTTGGAAAGTGAATTGGAGGAGAAGAATACCAGGCAGAGAAAATATTTGCAAAGGTCTGGAGACAAGGCAGAGCAAAGCATTTCAGCATGATTGGAGTCCTGGCTTTCAAGAGAGAGACTGTCAGACGAGAGATTGTTGAAAGTAGGTCCAAATTTTGCAGGGCCTTGTATGTCATTCTAAGGGGCTTAAATGTAATCCCATAGAAGACGGGGAAGTTTAAAGGACATTAAGCAAGTGATATAGCTACATTCGGATTTTAGGAAGGTAACTCTGGCAGACTGTGCAAAAAGAATTGGGCTGGGAGAGTTTAGAGACGCTTTTAGAGGCTTCTGAAATAATCTAGGTGAAAAAATGCTGAGGGCTTGAAATAAGGCAGTGGCAATAAGAAATGGCGATGAGGGGAAGAATTTGAGATGTTTAGGAACTTACAGCACTTACCACATAGCACTATAGTTTACCTGTTCTGTCGGTTTGCAGGCACAGACGAGCAGTGGCTTTATGGCTAGGACTTTTGTATTCATCTTTGTATCCTCAGCGTCTACTCGGTGACAGGCAGTCACGTTTGGTGAAGGTTAGCACAATGAATTCGGAAATGAAATACTAGGAGGAGCAGTGTGGAGGAGATCAGAAGGAAGGAATATGCCTAGGAGAGTGAGAGTGCTGAGAGAGGGAAAGTGGAATGCAGAAAGTCCATGAGCGAGAGTGGGGAAGAATCTCAAAAGCCATTCCCTACCTCTTCCATTGGTCCCCAATCCCTCGCCTTCCCGAGTCTCACGAGCTACAACCAGCGTCCGGTTTTTCCGCCACTCGCAGGCGGCTCCACCTCCCCAACACTCAGTGGATAAAAGCCCATCAACTCTAGGCCACGCCCCTCTCCATGGCTCTGAGTTTCCCTACCTTCTCCTCCTACACTGGGAAAACGGCCTCCTTTTGCTAAGCCACGCCCACCTCAGAGTCCCTCCAGGATGCAGGCTTTATTGGCCCCGGGCCCTCCATCGGACGGCCGCGCCCCCGCGCGCCCTGCCCAGCCTTCCCGCGGCCCTCGCCAGGGGGCGCAGCGCAAGCCGCCCGCTGTCGGCCAGAGTGTCTGTCGCACACACCCCCTCCGCCCAGCGCGCCGGCAGTTCCGAGCCGACTACGCCTCCGCTCCGAGCCCGCCGGGCTGCGCCGGCTCCGACTCCGGGAGGGGTCGGGGGGTCCCGGATGGCCGCGGTAGGGTCTAGGAGGCCAAGCGTGTAAGCCAACAGGCGTCATGGAGGCGGAGCAGCTGCCGACCACCCCGGCCGGCGACGGGGCGACCCCTGGGCTGGAGGCGGCGCCTCCTGCTGCCCCGGCGTCTGCGACCGCGGCCTCGGGTCCGACCCCTGGATCTGGGTCCGGGCCCGAGCCCAAGAGGAGGCAGCTCGGGACGCTGCTGCAGCCCACGGTCAACAAGTTCTCCCTTCGCGTGTTCGGCAGCCACAAAGCAGTGGAAATCGAGCAGGAGCGGGTCAAGTCAGCGGGGGCCTGGATCATCCACCCCTACAGTGACTTCCGGTACTGGGGACCCGGCAGGGAGGGCGGGGGCACAGACCCTACCCCCACGGGCCGCGACACGTCCCGCTCCACGGTCACTTCATTTCCGGCCCAGGGGTCCCCGGGTGGGGCGAGAATGTCACATCCCCCAACCTAGCCTGAGAATTCTTGGGCGAGGGATTCCCAGCCAGAGGTCTTCGGTGACTTCTCAGGCTGAGGCTGCCAGAAGGGACAAGCAGAGACCTGGATTTCCCGTTTCGGGAACGCGGCAACCCCCCAGGACCACAGGGACCACTGGAATTAGAAACCCCTGCCTCCTCCAGTCCTGCTTGCGGGGGATCTGGGAAATTATGTCATATTCCAAGGCTTGGAGTCAGCCTGAGAGAGAAACCGAGGTCTGCTATCTCCCACTCCCCTACTCCCACCTCCAGCACCTGCCCAGTTAAGCAGGGCAGGCTACCAGGAAAAATAGGGACGCTGGGAGAGGAGTGGGGGCGGGGGTCGGGTCCTGACAGCAGTTCTGGTCGCTGTCCCTGGTGCTGAAGGCAGGATGCAGTGGGGCCGGGCCAGGACTCAGCGATTGAGGCAGCAACGCAGGGGCACGGCCACCGCCCAGGTGACTACCAGAGAGAAGGGACCGAGGGTGGGGGTAGGGCGTTTCATAGTCCCCATCAGGCTGTATGTCTACATCAAGGTCGCTAGGGGAGGAGAGCAGCCCTGTCCTTGAGGCAAATGAAGGACAGCTTTTGGACGAGGCAAGGATGTGTGCAAAGCACCAACCTGGGGAGCGAAATGAGGAGAAAGGATGAGGTGTGAATCAGGAGCCTGGAAACACAATTGGAGACCTAGACATCATCTTGAATCCACAGACATACACACTCCCTAAATGTTCCTCTTTCCCTCATTGTTCATTCCACTCTCCTCTTCTTTATTGCCTCATTCCTATCCCACCAGTGCACCTTTTCTAGTCTCCTGTGGATCTCCCTCCCCTCCCCCATTTCACCCTCATACGTATCCCCAGAAGCCGTGTATCCCCCTTACTATCGTGCTTTTTCTCTGTCCTCTCTACTGCATCACCCGCCAAGCTTGTGACTGCCTGTGAGTCAGGCTGTGAAGATGCTCTATGGCTAGGCGAACCCTCTCTTCTCTCAGCTCACAGTACAGGATTTCTCCAGTGGCCCAGGAGTGAGAGGAAGAGGGGGTCAAGGATTTGTTGTTGATTGAAAGCACACTGTCTGAGGGGCTTCCTGGAGGCCTCGACTTGCGGAACACCAAACTTCTTTCAGGGGCTGAAAGGATTAATTTTGTAGTCAGAGTCAGAAGGGGTTGGATCCTGGGGTCCCAACCCAGCTGGGTCCTGGGGTGATGCTGCGATTAGGTGTGTCCTGGAATTAAAACCATCATAGCTAATGGAGCCCCTCAGATTGTCCAGTGACTTTCTCTGAATGAAGGCTTCACCTAGCTCCCTCCTGACCTCTTCTTTCCACAGCTTCCACCACAGCAGTGTGGCTCTCCCCTGCCCATGCCCTTGCCTGGTCTCAGCCAGAGTCCCAGTGGGCACAGGGAGGTTAGTGGGGGAAAGGAGTGTAGAACTTCAAGCCTTTCTGCCTCAGAATCTCCTATGGAGCTTCTCTGTATGTGCAGCCCTGTCTGAGGTGCTGTGGAGGGGAGAGGGGCATCCCTGAAAAGCTCAGTTCAGATGGGAGGCAGGACAGACCAAATGAGCAGGGGACACCCCAGGACACAAATGAGCAGATCCCAGCAGAGGAACTGAAACCGTGGGTCCAACTGTGCTGGGGAGGAGGGATGGGGTGGGGAAGGCTGGGGAGGGCATGAAGTCCTAGACTAGGAATGGGCAGAGAGCTGGAAATGGGAGAAGCAGCAGCCTCTTCAGAAATCTGGGGATAAAGGGTGGGTGAGTCATAACACCAACTAGTACTTGTACAGCACTGTCACATCCATTGTCTCAGTGGTTATTTTTTCAACAACTCTGTGAGATTAGCACAGAGTACTTTATATTTTTTTTAACTTTTAAAATAT